CATTGTCATTTTTTATAAATATATTTATATTGCCTTTATTTTTCCATTCCCCCCCCCCCCCCCCTTTTTTGGCGTAGGTCTTTCCTTACTGAAAGCAGAGGTGCGTTATGGTGTAGGTGGCAGAGGCATACCGGGTTTTGTATGTCTCAGTTCTGAGCTTGAGAGCCCCTTTGCAGCGTGAAGCACCGTAGACTTGGCTTCCTGAACCTCCTTGGAAACGTTTTTGGCTGCCAGATGAGATGATGGCTTTCTTGTGAACTTCTGCCTGCTGAGAAACTGCGCTGAGGCCAGTGACTTTTCCAAAGAGGTTGTTGCATAATAAAAGACTATTTTGAGATACTTGGAGCTTGGGCTAGAATCAAAGTGGTAACCCAAAGCGAGGAGCCCGTGGTGTTGCGGAGTCATCCAGTCCCTATAGGAGCCTGGGCCCTTGTTTTAGGTAATTTAAGTCATGGCGTTGTCTCCTTAGGAAACGTTGTGCTGTAGAAGTGAAATTATTCCCACGTGTTTCCATTTATGGCCTGCACTTGGCGTTGCAGCCCCGTGTAGTTCAGTTGAAGAGAAGCAGTCAATTTTAACTCACCTGGTTTTTAACGTTTCTCCTCATCCTTTCTGTCTGAAGCCTTTACTTGCAGAAAACGAAACAACAAAACCCATCTTGGCAACGCTTCTGGGTTCATTTTACCTGTACGTTGTTCATGCGGTTCCAAAGTTCCCACAAGCGAGCCTTTTTCTGTAGATTTCTGAGAACTTGCCATTTCCTTTGGCCTCAGAGAGGAATCGCAATATCTGTCAAGGAAATGCTCCCAGACAGGGCTTGCGCTGAGAAGTGTGCATGTGGTCGTAGTCTCTGAGGCTTGATTGGCAGTAGAGATTATCACTATTTTACTCGCCACACTTGAAGCATTTGAGTTAGGCAACTTTAGCCTTGCCAGTACACCAGATAGCACTGTACGAATCGTGAGCCAGTTAGCAAAGATCTCTAGAAAAACGAGATTTGGAAAAGTAATCATCTTCCATCCTTTGTGAAGATCCTCTCCGTCTTGGAGCAACTTTCTTGACTGAAATAGCTATCTGGAAGCTCAGTATGCCCCTTCATAAAATCCTTTGGTCTGGCCCTGACACCCGACAAACTGTACGTGTGATGACAAGGAAGGACTCTGCAGAGCTGCTGTACATAGGAAAAGAGTACGAGTACGTGCACCACCTTTTTTTTTTTTTTTTTTTTGCTAGCCCCAAACCACTGCTGCTGATGCCCTGACACTCGCTGGATCTGTGATAGCTCATTGACTGCTTGCTTTACAATGTCCTATGTAATTTGTAAGGCTCGGGAGAAAAAATTTCCCTTTGAGCAATGAGACGGAACCGTCCTTATTCTCCATTCAGAGAGTAATCAGAGACATCCTGTTGCAAAAATAACAAGGGGAGAACCAAACGCAGCATGCTGCTAAACACCATCCATCATTGCAGCCTGCCCACCCGTCCACCTCCCTCCCCTGACCCCTTGAGCCTTGTTTGGAAATACAAACAACTTAAAATGCTCTTCATACTTTGGTCGCAGTGTTAAAGTCATGGAACATTGTTTGCGTTTCGCATTTTAACAACAGCCAGCGCTGGTTTTCCTGCTATGAATTGGTTTTTGTCAGTGACAAGCGAAATTTGGATGGGCTCACCCAACCTTAGATTTGACTGAAATGGCAGCAGCCTTTCCTGGTTTCCTGTTGCATATGATTTATCCCTTGCTTTTTAAAGTAATGGATTTAGTTTTCCTGCAGATTAATTTTAATAAATCTCTAGTATTAGCAGCAGCAGCTGAGTTAGTTTAGCCTCTCGGATGACAAGTGTCCTGATCCATTGTATTGTTGAAAGCAACAGTCTTGACCGCCCTTCTACACAGAGCTGTCTACGCTCTAGTTGGAAAGCGGCTGTCTTTATGAAGTTACAGTGCTGCTGGATTTTGCTGTGCTAAGCACTCATAAAAACTTAATAGTTGTACAGGAACAGCTTTTCATCAAAAAAAAAAAAAAAAGCAGGGAGGGATTTCCATCTCGGTCATCAAACAGCATTTTCTAAATAACTGGCAGTCGTTCACGACCATGCAGACACCTCTCAGTTGTGGTCTCAAAGTATTTTGCAACTTGCCACTGGTATCTGTATCAAGGTCTTACGGCCCGTGGCTTTGGGCATGCTCGCCCTCGGTTTGCCGCAGGTTTAGCGCCAGGTCTGCACACAGGAAGCATTGTCCATGCGGCGTCAGAGGATGGTTGGGTTTGGAAGGGACCTCGGGAGATCCCCAGTCCAACCTCCTGCTCAAAGCGAGGGCAGCTACGAGATCATGAGGGCTTTATCCAGTCTGGTCTTAAAAACCTCCAGTATGCGCATAATGTGCTGTGCAATTTAACTGTGTTCTCATTATGCAGACTATTTGAACTCTTAAGCTTACTTTTCATTGTGTGTTTTAGAAGCTTAAGTCTCTTAACTTGGAAGAAGTCACAACACTGATGATGCCTTGGAGGTTTCTGAAGAAATAAATCTTAAAAGTTATTTGAAAAACATTTTCCCTGGAACCCTATTAATCTCCTCACTTAGCTGTGCCCCATATACGAAATT